AAAAAAAAAAAAGGATTTCTTGATATGATTTAGAATTATAAAATCAATTTGGAATTTCAAATAATAAAATGTTATTTATAGGCATTGGATAGGATTGTTTTATATTTCCGTATTTATTTCATTTTAATAATATATATATATTGAATAGAATTAGAAATATATGGATTTTCAAATTGGCATTTGATTGAAATGTTTTTTTTTGAATATGAATTGAAATTTGAAGCAGATAAATGTATGATAGCAAATGGAGAATAATGACAACGTATATTTTAAAAGGGATCCGTTCTCGAAGAGATATATTTAGGGGATGGCATTATCCGAGGAATAAATAGCAAACGTTAAATGGGCGAGGTTGGGGGAAGGCATTCGCAAGATTGCGTTTGAATTGGCACCGTATTGGCAGGCATTAGTTGCGAAATTAATTACGTTTGGGGCGATAATTCATTCTAAATTACCATAAGGTCTAAATACGATTAACCTCACAAATATTTTTTTTAAGAAATATGACGTTTTTTGAGGTGCGAGATGCTACTAATACCGCATTTTTCGAGAAAACCTTATAAATATTCATCGATATTTATATGGTTTCCTGGCATAAACCGACAAAAAATATTTGAATAGCATGCTTTTGGTGCATTTCTGCGGTTTCGAATAACAAAATATATTGATATTTACAATTATTCAATTTTTTTGTAATTGAAAAAGGCTTCTCCGACACTAATCTGGGGAATTTTATTTGATCTCTTTTTATGTATGCACGCCTCTCAAACGCAATTGCTAGAAGGTTTCGGGGTCGCGTTCGCGACGCATCCGAAAGAAACAAACAATAATTAGTAAAAAAACAAAACATCGAACAGACAACGAAATACAAAGGCAACGTCTGCCAATCTCTACTATGATAAATTAATTTATTTTGTTATTGCCGTACCATGCACCGACAATATTGACAGAAGAAGCATGGCGTAGGAGTAGCCAAGCATTTCCAGGCGTCAAAATTTGCTTTGGGTTGCATTGAAAACAAGCCTGTCATCGGCGTCCCCTTCTTCATAATTCTGAAATTCAATGTTTTTTTCGAAAACATATTTTTTGTACAATATACCCAATTTTGTCGAGGCCGGCCGCATTCTTTTCCTTGCCATATTGCACCCTATTTGCTGATTGGGGTTCCAAAGAAATTTGACGTAGAGGGTCGGTATCCCGTGCCCTTATGACGTGCCCAAGCTAATGAATTTTTTTTCATGATAATGTGCCTTAAAAATTGTAATGCAATATTAAATATTTTCATAAGGATAAATAATAGAAATGTGTTTTCTGTACCACGGTCTTATTTGCATTGGCTCTGTCAATGAAAATGGGCGTCATCCTGAGGATTTTACTCAAGGCACACATTTACATATTTCTATTCTCCTCCCGTTATCTTGTCTTTCAAACCTTTTTATTTTCAAATTACAGATGTAATTGAAAATATATTAAATATAATCTATATAGTCAAAATATATAGATGCATTTGCAGAGCCAAGCAGGTAGCCAAGCAATTTTTGCGGAAGTCTATTCGGGCTACCAGGCCCTCTCCCGGCCGAAGGCCCTTCGTCGCTAGGCGAATACCTTCAGGTATAACGGGGCGCCCCCTGCCGCTCACCCACTCTTCACGTATTTTAATGTTTGGCTCAACATCGTCTTGGAGGTACCTCTTGTCGTCATATGGCGCCAACGTGGTGCCCGTGGTGTGAGTTATGCCGGCCGAAGCGGATCGCATTATCAACATCTTCCACGTTGCCTTTGGCGAGGTCCCCTTTCCAACACGAGCCACAACCAGAACGACAAGCATAACACCACCCACAACGACAACGACCACAACCACAACAGCAACAACAACAAGAACCACCTGGAGTTCGGACAATGTTCCATAGCCTTACTAACTATGCCGGGGGTCTTGCATTGGCTCTCTTGAAAATAGTTCTTCCTCATAGGATGCGGCTGGATGGTTATGTCCTTCTGTCAGGCTATGCCTCTCAAGCGTGCATTCATTGCTGCATATGCGCTGTCCAGTGTCACGCACAATGGCAAGAAAGGCTGCAATGACGCACGGGGTTGTCTAACTCTTGCCCCTGCGCTACGCGCTGTGCTTCCAAAATCACACCGACCACCACCAATTTCCCCAAAACGCCAACGAAAACGACAACGACTACCAACACAACCACAACCACGGCCACCACAACCACAACAACCATACCGACCGCCACAAGGACAACACCACCACAACAACAACAACAACAACCACAACCACAACCACAACCACAACCACGACCACAACCACAACCACAACCACAACCACGACAACAACCACACCAACCACAACCACAACAACCCCAACCACAACCATAACCACAAACACAACAGCAACAACAACAACAACGACAACGACATGTTGAGCCATCTTGGGGTTATGTGTTGCCATTTTGGGGCCTTGTTGGCCCTATGTAGGCCCATCTCGGGACTATCTTCCGCCATCTTGGGGCTGTCTTGGGGCCATCTTGTGTTATCTTGGGGTTGCGGCTGCATTGAGGCTGAGTTGGTTATATATGTTCAATCCTGGCCCCCGTCTGACACAGGGAGGCATTTTCCTTTGTTGCTTCTTGGCCCGCTGTTGGGCGTCAACCCCTTAAATACAAAATACGTTGCCAATATTCATTTCATTGTTATTTAAATCTAACACGTTCGTGCTAAAAACACACTTTCGATCGTTCTGCGCAACCTTGAGGAAATATCCTTCCAAAAATGATTTCGTAAAAGGCAACAAGAGATCTTGCAAGCTAGCCAAGTTGAGGAACAACTAGCACCTCAAGGTTGCGACGTTGAATATCATTAAATTTAATTAATCATATATTAATATATAACATATTTCGATTCATTTCTTATTTGGAATAAATTTACGTGTTCACATGGGGGCCCGCTACGTATTCTTTATTTTTGACACACACGACTGCTTAATGAAGGAATCATGAACCAAACAATTATTGGCACCAAATTATAGGAGGCGTCAATAGCGTTGCACCATTTTCAATTGGTCTCCGAATATCAAACATGCTTGAAACAAAAGATTTGTTGGAAATCAACTTTGGAAGGGTCTATGCTAGCATCTAGTAATATTTGCTAGCACGGATCTAGCGCAGCGCGTGGCTAGCGCATTAATACCTATTTTTCAGAATATGTCTGAATCAAATACTAGTGCAAATCTACCGCAAACCTAGCGCCCAATTGCAGAATAGGTATATTTAATTGGGGGTTCCGCTACGTATTCTTTAGAGAATATATAGATTTTTTTCGATTCCTTTATCTATTTTTCTTAATAATAGATTTTTGGCCGGATTCCATATAAATATAAACAACATATTAATTTCATATAATATATTATATCTATAAACAAATAATCTATTTATATATATATTGCCAATCATATTTTTATAAAATAAATCAATAAATTAGAATATAATATATTTATATTTCAATATCTATTTAAATGAAAATACCTATTATAGATTCCATGGAAAATATTTAATATAAATATTATTCTTTTTAAAAATAAAAAATTAATTGTTGTATTCTGAAAAAAAAATGCATAGGCCTTACAAAAACCAAAACATACAAAAACTAGTCCTGGTATATTTTTTAGTAAATAAACCCAAAAACCAAAAAAATAAAACAACAAATAAACATAATCTTTGGATCCCCCCCCCAACCTAAGACCTCCCTTTTTGGTTTATTCACCAAAGAATCTCCCAGGATGGTATTTTTTATATTCTTTTTTTGTTTTTGGAAACCTATCCCAAGATAAAATTTCTAAAGAATTAATTATTATTTTGTATTTTGTATTTGATAAGAATACCTTATAATATTTCTAAATTGTAATTATTCTTCATTAATAATCATTAATGTATTAAAGATCTAGGTTTTTATTAATATCAAATTTAATATTATCCAATTATTCTATATATTTATCCATATAATCCTCACCCCTATATAAATAAGGTATAGATATTTTGTAAATTCTATTCATTATATTCAATATATAATCGTAAGATCTATATTTTTAATATATATATCCTTAATTCAAATATATATTCCAATTTAATAATATATGTTTCAAATTCAATAAAAGAATCTTCAAAGGAATTTGCATTATTTTCCCACAATTTCCAATCAACCTCTTTTATAATATTCTTCCAAACCATCCTTTTTCTAAAAGAGATAAAACCAATATCTAAAAATATATATTATATTATTATCTTTATTCAATTAATAATTCAATATTCTATTCAAAATCTCTTATTAAAATATAAAAATATCTATCTTTATCATCAAAAATTATCAATAAATCAATATCATATTTAACGAACAACATTTTTATCTTCATTAACCAAATACATATTTAAATAAACTATTTATTACAATCGAATAATTATTATCAATTTCAAACCTATAAATATTTCTATTATCTATAAAAAAAATACTATCTTCCCAATTAATAATATCATCTTTCAATATATATTATATATATATATTAATTTTATTAATATAAATCTTTAAATAAAATAATATTAAATAATTCTCTATAATTACCTTCCCTATTAAAATATATCTATTCTAATAAATAATAATGTAAATCACCTTAACCACAATCAATATATTTCATTTAAAATAATATATCTTTTATACTATATTTAAATATTTATTCAAATCATTTTCATTATAAATATTAAATTCTATAAATAATAAATCATAAAGAATCATCATAAAAATTACATCTATTTTATAAAATATTTATATTTAACTAATCTATCTACGAACATAATTTTAAACAATATAATATATAATTATATATTTATTTATTTTATTTTTTATTTTTATAAAGTAAATATATAAATATATCTTTCCAAATATTCAATCTAAATATATTAATTCCTTATTAATATATATGTAAAAAAATCATTCATCTATATATAATATTATTCTAACATAATCAATATAATTTAATTCTATTCAAAAAAATATATTAGACATTCAATATATTGGATTATTATTATTAAATCTTCATAACGCCAAAAATATAATTCAAACCAATCAATATAGAAATTCGAACTCAACGCAAAATCTTTTCTAAACATATTTTAGCAAATTGTTATGGCGAATACATGGTTGATTAACATTGGTCGATTTAATTCTCCATCAGGAAAAAGCCGTTTCGTTTTGGATCCCGTAACGCTGGCATCGGCATATGGCAAATATGTTTCCTCACCTGCCAGGTGAGTCTCGGTTGGTAGATTCTATCAGAGCTCTTCTCCTCTCCTCTCCTCTTCTCCTCCTCCGCCTCCTCCTCGCCAGCAAGTTGGAGCAAGTGGCGGATCGCACTGGGCACTACCGGACCTCAACACACAACACACAACATACCCACAAACACACGCACGATACACAATACAAATGATTGAAATATCATGGTGGGGACTCGAAGTAAAGAATTTTTGTAGATTAATGTATTCAGGATCATGTCAATTCTGAGTTCGAAATCGTTGAACCAATCCACACGTGATGGCCCTCTCAAGGCCATAAAAGGCCACAGCGAAGACCACTGCACCAGCAAAGCCTTGCCAAGCCACCTGACAGTTGGGTGGTTTGTTGGCGCAGGAAACCCGCCCAGTTGCATGGATAGTGGCTTTCAACACACGGAGTTTTATTGTTCACACTGAAACACTTGATGACAGTGACCCGTTCGAAACATGCATGCCAATGTTCACCGCGCCTGGGCCAGCATTGCCCAACTGAAATATCCCAGCGGTTCTCCGCAATTTAGTGGAAGGGCCTCACCACACTCACAGGACAAGTGGACATCTAAAACTATTTGCTTAAATACCCCTTGAGGCTCCAGAAAGCACAGTCCATGCCCCAGAAACCACGGGTTGAACGGCCATTTGGAAGGTCTAACTCAGTCAGGTTTAACTCAGTTCTGGCAACTTCTGGGAGCTGAGAAATACGATTTGTTTTACATTTAATGCAATTATGGAGGACCTCTTTTACATGCATCGCTACGAACGTGACAAGGGCAAGAAGCTACGAACGTAGCAAGCAGCTACGAACGTAACAAGGTGCATCGCTACGAACGTATCAAGCACATTTGTACTCATCCGGATCCCACAGGTCTTTCGAATCGATGCCTGGCACTCAGCCGGCATTTGCACCAAAAAGAGTGCTCGTGGCAGCACAAAGGCTCCGATGACACCTGCGGGGGGGGCTTAGCGGTGTCAGTGTGATGGCCCGGTGTGGATATAAATGGATCAAAGCCAAGCAAAAACTCTCTGCTGGACATGGCTTTTCACTTACCTTTTGGTTCGCACGATGATTCTTTGGTCAAAGCATTGTTACATTGACATGGGCCATGTGGACCATCGTCTTCGCTCGATCGTGCTCTGCCAGGGACCTGTCCTGTTCGCAGCATCGGATTGTCGTCGCCAGCGCGAACCGCATAGCGATACCTGGTCAGAAAGATCTGTCACGTTGCAACGTGACCAGACCGCCCAAAGTCACAGTGGCACATGGTGATGGCACAGGATGTCAACAAAAACGCTGCTTAACATGACTATGAATGAAAGACTGGACCCATCGTCGGATTCACGAATCCTTCAAAGCTGGGGAGTCGTGGAAGGGATATTTTTTCAAAAGTTGACTGGCATGACCTCAAAAGGATGACATGTTTCTTCAAATACCAACCAGGCGGTGTTCCAAACGATTAGTGATTTCATGATCCTCAACCAGGGAGCGCAAAAAACGGATCTTTTTTTAGAACTCCTTCTACGAGCTCTATACGTCCTATAGGCGGCTCCTACTCAATAGGTTACTGATCTCTGGCTTTGCAGTGCAAGGTTTGGTCTTGAGGCTGGTCAAAGCAAGCGTTGCACGGTAGGTTTTGGGTTTCTGAAGGTCCAACTTCAACAATGAGCCAAGCCGAAAACAATGAGAAACAACAAAACACATATGTTACTCATTGTTACTGTTACTCTCTCTCTCTCTCTCTCCCTCTCTCTCTCTCTCTCTGTCTCTGATGATCCAATTTCGGGTGGTCTCTTATATGTCCCACCGGTTCAGGCATGCTTGCCACACGCACCTTCTCCCTAAAAACTCGTTCTACAAGTAGCGCCCAAAGCCAACGCAACTTGCCAAGGTGCACCACTCCAAAAAGGAAAATGTCCAGTGCCAGCATGTCCAATTGAAATTCCCAGCGTGGCGTCAAGCGATCGGGATCTAGCAAACCTGGAGTTTACCGTTCAAAAGCGCTGGAAGGACCGGGGTGGTCGGGGTCAGTGCTCTCACCAAGACATTAAAATGCCAAGAGACCAACCTTGGTTTCTAGGTTGCTTCATAATCTCTGAGTACATCACCTTATTAGGGTGTCCACGTGGTGAAAACGACATATTTTATGGTTTGGGTGATCTAATTTACTTCATGTTCCAGGCCGAATCTCATGAAAAGACATGAAACAACACCACTCGCAGATACTCCTAGTGCATTAATATATATATATATATATGTGTAGTGGGCTCGTCAGAACATGCAAATGTGAAAAAATGACATATCAAAGAGCTAATGCCAATGAGCTACAACACCTTATCATCCAATGCAAGCTGCAAGCAACAAATAAATGCCATGACCTAAGGCCGCAAAAAGGGTCCTGAGAGCGTAGTTGAGCGGTTGATTGAATTGAACCCTTGTTGACCACTTCGAAAATGTGTGTGTGTGTGTTGGCATGCCACAAGGAGAAAGAAACTTAACCCGATCATGCATCAGTTGGGGAAACCATGGCCCGCATGATCAAGGGTCCTTTGGCCCAAGCTGCTTTTGAGGGGAATTTGAAGAGCCCTTTTTGTATCAATTCGGGTGCTGTCACTACATGTCACTACTCACTACAAATACATACAATACAATTAAAACTCATTCTGAGGGGCAGGATGGTGCAGATGTGTGCATTTATTCTGGTCCCTTTAATCCACGCGGATGCTACAAATTTTAAATATCTTCAAGTCCCACAGCGTTTGTGAATAGAGCGACGGTCTCCCCACCTGATGGCTTCGATTCTGACCAGGGGCCTTTGATTTCCTGGGGGTCTTCCTCCAAAAACAGCAAGAGACTCATTTGCAACACAACACGGGTATTAGGGTTTTCCGCTTTCCGCGTCCCAAAACCACCAAAACCCCACATAACCCACCCCACCTCTATCCCGGTGTCCACCAACCCACCTCTTCATTCCCGCCACGCCACTGATGGGTACCATGGCCACTGCGCCTGAGCCCACGGCCGTCAGACCCGCTTTGACGCTCTCCAGGCGTTCTTCGCCCACGAGGCCACGAAGGCCGCGGCCGGCGTCGGAGTCCAACAAGTCTTTGGCGCCATCTGAGCGGACGGAAGTCCAACAAGTCCAGTACAGGTTGGTCTGAAGATGTCTGAAGATATCCTGAAAACATCCCGAAAAACATGCTTACTATGTCAGAGCATCTTTTGGAAAATCCAAGTTTTCAAGATCCTCCCTTCCTTTGCAGGCCCACAGAACCACATACCCTGGGCCGGGTAAAGGTCGAGATCACCTAGACACAAACGAACGCAGCATAGAGTAAAGTATGAAACTACTAAGCAATCTCTGAAAGCATGGATCGTTTATGAACATCTATTCGACTTGGGTTGTTCCCTCAGAACTTCCAGCTAGATGACAGGATTGTTGCCAATTCTTCCTCAACCAGACTCAACCAGATCCGCAGACAGGACCAACACCCTTCCTATTTAGATGTTGCTGTGAAGTGCAAATGCTCGCGTCTGCTAAGATCAAGTCAAACATGTTGATGCTTTGCTTGTGACTCGTCAAAACCCGTCTCTCAATTCCCACTCCAACGGTCTACTAGCTCTAAAAGGGGAAACACGGTAACCAGCTCGTTGTTCTTTTGTTGACCATCTACACATTGTCTTTAACCTCCACAAATGTCGACGAGTTACGCAAACAAAAAAAAGGAGGCCGCCAGGCTGCCAAGATACTCCAAACAGAATCAACCCACCTTGGAACTGGTGGGTTTCAGCCACAGCACCATATATGGTTGGGCGTTTCTTACAAATCTCTATCGGACATCCCAAATGGTCCAAGTACTGCGATACAAGCACATTATGCATAATTCATTCAGCACACAAAGGCAAACACAATAATCTAAGTGCATGTTGATAAGATTCTCGATCTCTATTTGTGACGTCTTGAGTCTTGAGCACCTTTTCCAATGTCTTCCCAAAACGGTCATCAAAAAAAAAAAAATATATATATATATATCGTTTTATTATTATGGTGATAACACATGAGCAAACACCATTCGTAGCAAAAAATCATCCTGCAAAGAGGATTCAGGAAGACACATCTGACGATCGAAACCGGTCGTAGATGACAAAGAGCTGAACACCTGGTTCACACGAAACAACAGGTGCTGGTGAATATCGCTTCTCTTTCTGTTCATCCATGTTCATCCCTTTTCCATTTAACTTCGCCCGGAGCGCTCGTCTGCTGGGGTTGAGATCTCCGGCTGTGCACACCGCCTCACACCTCGGCAAAAAACGAGAGAGGGAATCCTTCAAATCCAGAAAAACCATCCAAATCACGCAGCAAACAGGCAAAGATACAATGTTAGATGCGACCTTGAACCGTTTCTGCAAACTACTTACTATTCACCTCAAAAACAGACACCCACACACAAACATGCCGTTTTGTTTAAAGCAAGGTACGACGTAGTATTGACACGTGTCTCTCAACGTTTCGGCAACATGTGGAAACATGAAACTAAGTGTCCAGATCGTGGTGGTGGTGCGAAGGTCCAGCCAGCCAGCAAGCAAAGGATGAAGCAAAGCGCACCTTGCCGCGGGTATCCGTGGGCATCCGATCCGGGTATCCGGGTGTTCCCTGGGTAGCTGAATACCATTGTTGTTGTTGTTTTTCCCCTGCGGGAGGCTTACTCACATTGGAAACCTTGCATGGAGTAGGACATGAACGGTGCTCAAAGGCCAAAGACGCCAGGAATTCGTCTTGTTCCTCCACTCTGGCAGCGAAATTTTCACCGCATGGTGAAAGGAGCGCAATGACTCATCACTCTGGTATCCTCTGGATGTATACCCATCAAGTCGCAGATTGATTTGATTCATCCTGAGTGCACCCCATTGGTTCACCGTCGGGCTCATCCCGTCCCCACTCCACCTGACCGGCCGTGGAAACCACGGCGGAAGGTGAATCTCAGGCGCGTGGGATCCGCATGGTGTGCCATGGCACGGATCGTCGGGTGATGCAGGGAGATCACCCGTGCACCACGGGCAGGTTTGACAGGGTTTCTGAAGATGAACTCCAAGCCTGGTAGGGAGATACTGAACTAGAACTGACCACCAACCAAGGAACTGGGGCGACAATATACATATTCTGAGCAAACTCTTGAGCAATATATAATTTCTATATCATATCATGAGCATTGACATTGAAGAAGGAGATCATGCACCGGCATCTGGGGAATTTGTGCGAGATTCTATGGCTGAGGCTGCTGAGGTCATGTCACCGAGCTCATGGTTCTCGTGGTTCTCGGGGCTTCGCATGGCTCAACTGCGGTCAAGACCGCACTGGGTGGATCATGGGACCATGATGTCGTTACGTCGTTGATGCGAAGGCATGCAGCTTTGCAACGCTCTTGCCATCCTGCATGCAAAACCCAAGTCCAGTCCAGTCCATCGATTCACTCTTCGAGGAAGACTCGACTCCGCCAGTTCTCGTCCACCACATAGGGCGGACCATCCAGTCCACCATCCTCTCAAGCCCACGGGCGGCTCCAAGTCACTCGTCGGTGCTCCTTTTTTCTCACTCATTCGGTGCTCCCCTGACGTGCGGCCGAGCCGAAGAGCTTCTGTCCCGCCTCACAGGCACAGGCGCTCTGCAAGGACATACCCTGCATATATGCAAACGTTGCAAAACAGTCCCTCAGCCACCTGTTTTGGGTTCACTGCAAGCAGTCCATTTCACCAAGACCCCCTGGCATCCCCTGGCGGTGTGCCGAAAACTCATATTTGTGCTCTCTTGTGTGTGCTCACGAGGCTACTCGTGCCCTTCGCATCCCTTCACAATATGTGTGCTCTCATGCTCTCATGCACGTGCTTGCCGGTCCGGATCCCAGAGCCTTGACATGCTGTGCCAGTCAAGTTTCCACGCTTACCTGGCACATGACCATCGCAAGACAAGCGAAAGCACGCGTTTCGCAAAAAAAAGCAGACACGCTCCATGGCTTTGAGACACGCTCCATGGCTATTTAAGGAATTGAATTGGAGAACCGTTTGATCTTTGCAAACTCCACAAGATACCATGTAATTCTGGCTGCTATTGACTGGAACCACACTCCTTCTGGCAGTCTTCTTTGAACTATCCAGAACGTGGTCATGCCCGGCCTCTGCTCTGACCGTGCCAAATCTCTCAACACCAACTAACCCAAAACAGGTCATTGGTCGTCAGTTCTTCAACCCATCTCCCTCATCTCCCATCCATCTCCCGTTGGCAACTTCAAGCCAAGCAGCTTCAGCTTCTTCTTGGGACGCAACTGGTTGCTGTGGCCGCACTTCTTCTTGCGGCAGTTCACCGCGCGCGCCTACCACCGATCGGAGACCGGACGGTTTTTACGGCGACCCGGACGGAGTCGAGCGACGGGACGGGGGTTGGTTGAAACCAATTGCTTCATGGAAGAGAATGGAACCACGTGTCACGAAATAGCATTTGGGGTCGGACCGCATACAATGCCTACGCAGGGCTCAGTGCACGAAGAACAAAGGAGCTTCCGAAGCAAGGAAACAAAGCAGAACGGAGAACACCCAAAGAAATTCAGCTTCTGCGGTGCCGCTAAAAAAGAACAATTTCCGCTAGAACACGACCAAAGCACAAAAGACAAATACGCACCCCGAACACATGGAAAACAATGTTCTTTTGTTTTGTTTTTGCTTCTAATCAACTGTTCACCCCGGTGGTATCCACTGGCTGGGTATGCCGTATGCCTGACCCACGACCCGACCCGTTTTTTGTGAGGCTCCGGGCATGGAGCCGAGCGTAGCACTTGCGGCAAATCATCTTCTCACAGTTGAACTTTCGCGCAAGCACCTTGAGAGGTTTGTGAGCCGGGTCATATGGAGACGAGCTGCCTTTTTTGGCCCATTCTAGATCCCCTAAAAATCCAAGTACCTTCTCAGAAGGCTCCAAAGCTACATAACAGTGCCTCCAATCACCTTCTGAGAAGGTACTTGGATCCCTAGGGGATTCTAGGCTCTAGGTGTATCTTTCCACCACGAGCTGTTGCGTGAAGAACAGTAGATAAATGATTGTCCCAATTCTTCGCCACATCCACCTGTTCATCGCCACGTGCTATGGATGCCCAAATGGTCATCCACCAAGCACCAAAGAACCGTCCAGACCCCGGTCACCGGCGCGACGTGGTACACACTGGTCCGGGAAAAGCCAAATCTAAGCAAATGCATCTTGCTGGTGTCAGACCCTTTCAAGCATGGTGCGAAACCAATTGCAACAAACCTTCGCACACCCAGGTAGTTGTGCGATGGGCATCGGTTTACCAGGAGATGGAACACATTGGGTGGCGAACAAAGCAGGATATAGGTAAGTAGCACAAACATGCACAAACTATAAAATAACATGAAAAAGTAAGTACAGCCCACCATCTCAACATCTTGTTTGGTATTCCAACCTTTCGCCTCTTGGTTCTTCACAATCCCAGGGCGGATGACACCAAGGCGCTGCCAAGGAGGGCTCGATGACACCACCGCGGAGGCGCAAGACCAAGTGTAAGGTCGACTCCTACCGTTCGCTCGGGGAAGCTCTGAGGGGGGCAAGACTGGGCAAGATGACATGGCTTTCCACGTGAATTTGAAAGAGAAGTTTGAACTGCACTGAAGTTCCAATTTCAGGGCGGAGCTGGTGGAGCCGACATTCAATGTATTTCAATTTCAGGTCGAACTCAGGGTCACCCCCAGAACTGACCCATGGACCAACCAGTGACCTCCAGCCCCCGTGCAGTCAGGACCCCCCCCTGAGATATCGCCTTCTGAATGTTGTAGTCCGACAAGGTTCGGCCGTCTTCCAACCTGTAGCGGTCACGCTTTGCCAAGAGAAAGCCGTAAAAGGCTCTTCTGAAGCTGTGTCCAGCCCATACCTGTGACCTGTTCACTTCTGAATTGATTGGAACAACCTCAAGCACTCCCGGACCAAAGGGACCCAAACGAAAGAGAACTCGAAAGGTGCCACCAAAAAGAATCCTTAACACATCATTACACCAGAAATCAGGCAATGAAGCAGTGGCCCTCTTTTAGCATGTCCCTGATCCTACACACTCAAGCTCACTTGCACTTCTTTTGCTGGTCTACAGCAAGAACTAGTATATAATTCGGGCTTGCGTG